ATTCTGGATGAAGATAAGAAACAGTAGGAATAATCACTAATAATTCTAATATACTGCATGAGCAGATGGCCTAAACCTTCAAATGTTTTATCAGTCTTACTGTTTTTTTACGTTGTGATGGGTAAAAATTATCCATGATAAACTATGGCTGAGACAATGAATGCTTCCATCCATCATTCCGGCCTTTCTCTTGTTCCAACCACGTGACTGAGTTGAATCAAGTTTATGACATCTTGGCAGGGAGATTCCTACAGAAGCTAATATCTAGATTGAGTACATGAATAATGCATTTACTCCCCATAAAAGCAAAAAATGTTAATTTTAAGAACAAGGGATCTCTATTTCACTTCGTTGAACCAGACCACAATGAGGTATTTTAAAAGTCCTAGCGGATCATTCACAAAAATTTCAGAATTTGTCTACACTGCTCTGTCTATTACCGCTGAAACTGTGTTTGTTCTCAAGAGGTCATAAAGTGATTTAAAAAAAAAAAAAATATATATATATAATGGTATGCCAATCCTAAATAAAGGAAATCTCGCTTTAAGAACACAAGCTAAAAAAATCTAGTAGAAATCCTTGGTATAAGCCGCAGACTCCTCTCCCCCCGCACCGAGCAGGCTTGGCACGGCGTCCAGGCACGGCCAGCTCTCTGCTGGGGGCAACGTTCTTGGCTGTGAAGGCAGAGCGTGCCCTCTGTCACTCATGGCGAGCAGTCCTGTCCAACTGTCTCTTTTCGACAACGTTATCATCAATCTCTTTATTAACAGCTCCACTGCAGACCGAGAAGGCAAACAAGGCGAGCGCGCACGCCAGGCTTCTGGAAGGCGCGCAGCAGCAGGCAGCGCGCAGGGCAAGGTTTCAGCGAGGCTGACGCAGAAGCCGTAACGCAAAACTCTTACGTGCCGTTCTAAGAAGCATCATGTTTATTATGTTTACTTAGAATCAAACTTCTCCCTGGGGAGAGGCTCGGGGGGGGGCAGGGGGTGGGGAAGAGAGAAAAAACTTATTCCTAAAATGTCAAGGATCCCCCCCGCCTCCAGTTTTAATTTAAGGCCAGTTGAAACGCCCAATCAATGAAGGGTACGTGACCCAATATTCCATTCAACTTCCAGAATTTTACGTGCTTTAGGTTAGCGTATACCCTAAGTGAAGCAAATGTCACAGAAATAACCTGAGATGAACTAAAAAGTTTGTACTGATGTGCAGATTTTAAGCACATAAAACATTTACTTAAGTAGCCTTATTGAGGAAATTTACTTCTAAAAATACAAACATAAAATGCATTCATAAAGTAGACGTGCTAGCTCCCAAGACAGACAAAAAGGCATCTGCACTTGTAAACTGTCCAGTATCTGCATGGGCCACAGTTATTATGGGACAGTTTAGATGTATTGGCTATTTTCTTAAGTTAAATAAATAAATGCATCTTTCTTTACCCAACAGAAGTTGGAGCTTTTATCACCTTACATCAATAGTAATTTTCCTCTTTATCCCTTCCTATTACTTGCCTGGACTCTTATTTAAAGACAATAATTGACCGCAAAAGATAAGCTTGGTCATACCTACATATATTATTCAACAGGTTTTTTTCCAACCATTAGTAGTATGCTGTTAAATTTGACTCTTTCTAAACTCAGTATCTCTAGAGTTTATGAGTTAAAAGTTTAATAAAGTGTGTAGAACATGGTCACTCTTAGTTTCTTTTAAACATTCCACTAGAATACAGAGGTCATAAAAATACCGAGATCATTAAAGAAAACCCAGACATGCTGAACAGGAACTGTGATCTGGTTAATTCATTAAGCGTGGGAGGAAGAAAAAGAAAGTTACCTGAAGACTGCATTCCAGAATTTAGTAAGAACAATACAAATATGCCTAAACTTTGTTAAAAAACCATTAGAGTTTAAATACCCAAAAAGCAGATGGGACATCCAGCAGTGGTTCATCGTATTATCTTTTTCGCAATAAAACATGCCCTCTGAAGTTTGCTACCAAAGTTTGCATTCTTTTGGTGACGATAGCAGCAGATGTTTGATGTTTGTAGATATTTCAAATTATTAGTTTGAACTTTGGAGACGTATCAAACTGCATCTGCCTCTATCAACAAATCCAAGATGTTTTTTTTCTATTGAACAGATCCTTAATTCTACTAAGTATTAAAAGTAAACTAAAAATGGTTTACTGCCGACATTTTTCCAATACAAACTTTGCATCCTTAAAAAAGTGAACCTACCAAGTACTCAGCTGTTATAAATTATAATATACAGAGTATACAGTGTACTATCAAGACCTGCACATTTTTAAGTGACCACATTTTTTGTTAAGTATTGTTCAGCCACAATGATGCCAAAGAGAGATTAAGCACAGCAAAGCTACTTGACTAGTATGTTTATAAAGTTACGTAAATGATGCCAGGCTCACTTCAACATGCCAAATGCCTTTTGTACAAATGCACACAACTTCCAAAAAAATATGTACTATGAGAAAATAAACATACTCTGCTTCCTCAGTAACTACCACAGTAGTTTTTCTTGCATTTAAGTATAGATTCTGGCTCAGCAATATCTAGTGTGTTCTTGCTATACTGAATTATTTTTGGTTATTCTAGAACCTGAAGAACTCAGTTTTAACTTTTATTATTGCTTAAAATCGGTTGTGTCATTAAGGTACATTACCAGCAATTGATATTCATTGTTTAAAAAAAAAAAAAAAAAAAAAGAGAAATGCAGTAAGAAATGGCATGCATGCATACTACCTACAGCAAGGAAGCACAACTTCAGCTAGAACTCATCAATTCAAATGTCTGATTCCAATCAGTATGTCTAAAGCCATCTGTTGGAACCATGGTTTATTAATGTTAATTATTTTGGCTACAACAATAATTTTCAGCTTCTTGTTTGCCGATCCTTATGAGTTCGTGAACTTACTTCTGGAGGTTCTTGACAGGTAACTCAGAAAAACAAGCCTACTGAAGCCTATTGCCAGTAGATTGAGAAACACCGAACAGAAATTTGTATATCTACCAGCAGTTTTTTATTGGTCGGAGAAAATAAAAGACGAATTAAAGCCATAAATAACATCAGCTGTGATGAAAGGAAGATGGGGTGGGCAAGATATAAAGATGATGAATCTGTTCTAAACAAGACAAGCAATCGCATGCTGTGAAAAATATATACAACACAAAGGTTTATTGTTTTAGGCAGGGTAATTATAATATGAAGACCATAATCATCAGCGGTTTTAGCAGTTTAAGAAATTTTAGTCAAAAGGAAGCTACTTATTAAAGTTACTCACATCAAGCATTTGGAGTATTGGGCTCATGCTGATACAAAGATCAATCAAGTGATGCACAGCTACGTGTAATTTTTACTTTTATTTCAGAGCAAGCTGAAACTATTTGACAAGAAGAGAAACAGTGCCATCTGCTGACGTAAGAAATAGTCACAACAAAAGCAAGTGTAAGATGCCAAAGCTGCTACAACTGACGTTTTTAAAAAACGGAGTCCAAAGTTTTAAAGAAGATAGTACAGCCTCAAATTGTTTATGTACACATTTCTTCTAGTTCTGTCAGCTTTTAAGAATATAAAAAGAAAAGTTTTTGAGAATTTTTAAAGCTTTAAATAAAACTTTTATGTATTTTAAGAATTTAAGACAGACTCCTACTCAGGAGACAAGGAATGGATGCTCTTAAATTTTTTTCTTTGATTTGGGTTGGTTTTTTTGGCAGTAAACTGCCCCTGCCAATCCACAATCTTTCCCTTTAACAGACCAGAACTCAACATCCTGCGGAGTGCGACTTCCACTTCCTATATCTAACACCATGCTATTTAGAGAATATTCATTTATGTACCATTTCTTTTAGGACACACCATATTTCACCTTCGCAGAAAATTTAAGAGCCAAGTATGAATTCAGAGAATAAAATTCATTTTATACGTTCAGAAAAATCAGACAACTATGGGATTGTGCTGTTTTTTATTGTGTTTTCAATGGAGAAATACATCATCTGTTTACAAAATAGCTCTTGAAAAATACAAGGAGTACAGATACTATAAAACAAAGCAAACTCCAGTCATGAGACACTACGTACATCATGCGAAAGCAACAGTCTGATCTCCAGGTTATGAAAACTAGAATTAAAAAGTCACTATACAGAAAGGTTCCAAGTTTCCAGCTTGGCAAAACTTGGGTGCAGTTACATGAAACGTTTAATAAAATGAAAAAGATTTTCCGATGTGTAAACAAAATGACAAGACTAAATTTGTGCCTGGCAATTTCGATCTAAACTCCATAGCTACACAAAATACACAGACACCTTGTACACTTCAACTGTTAATATAACCTTCTTTGGGGGGTGGACGACAGCAGGCTGCACAGGGCAAGGAAAAGAGATATTGTATACTAGACATCTTAGACAAATGGCAAAAAAAAAACCCCTTCAGTTACTGCACAGCCTAAGTAAAAGAGAAGCTACACTCTGACTTTGGAGAATTAATTTAGAAGGATAAGGGGAAGAGTGTAAGTAATTTAATTTTAACATGAAAGATGCACGTGTAATAGGATGGAGCACAATGGGAGAAGGGAGCTCATAAAACATGCTAATCAAAGTATGGGAAATATGATTTGACATCCCACATACTTCAGACTTAAGTAATAGTAACATGAAGTTTGTTATCTACATCTGGTACTACTATTGGTATCCCTCATGTTCCTCAAATACTGCTGTTCTTTGCCATGAGAGACTCAGCTCTTTCAAAAGAAAAAGTTGTTACCTTTTTGATAGGACTACAAGAACAAAAAAAAAAGGAGTAAGAGAGCTTACTAGATGTCAAGTCCTTACTAGAAATATGATTTTTAAAAATTCAGTGTTGTTCAGTATGTAAAACAATTTCTGATGAGCCATCTAAAAATAAAAAAGTTAAAATTCTTAGGGAAAAAATCTTTTCGCCTTTATTTAAAATTTGAAGCTTTTTAATGCATACAGGACTTATGGAGTGTACAAAAATCATCTTATATTTAGTGATTCAAAGGCCATCAAGACAGGTGTTACATTTCACAGGCACACAATATTTACTTAAACACTTTAGTCATGGGACAAAATTTGCAATTTGTGCCTACAGGCCACAAGGTACTATGTTTAGGTTAGCGGCAGCGGGGAACCCAAACGAATACATGGCTTGTTTTTATTTTGTATAAATAACTATTGTCCTATATGGTGCATACAAGCTGCAAAAAAACCCCCAACATTAAACGCAAAAGCTTTTCCCAAGAAATAAAGGGATCAAAAAGGGAATAAGGAGTTTGATTAGCTCAAAGGAAAGTTTATTTGCTGTTTGATTGCTGATCTGTATGCACCTTAAAACAACCCTATAAATAAAAGTAGACCACATCTTAATCATGTCCCACTAATACCAAAACTTCCCAATTACTTACTCAACTTACATCTTATAACCTCAAGATTGGACATTTCATTTTAAAGGCTTACTGCTGCTTGATGGCAGTTGAACGAGATATACTATACACTTTGTTTTCAATGTAGAGTACATCCTAAAACGTCATCCAATTTGCAGATTACTACTATTGAAGACATTCTTCAATAAAACAAAAGTGTATCAGCTGAAGATCTAAAATTAGTCATACTCCAATAAAAAAAAAGTACATAAAAGTGCATTTAAGGGATTCTTATGCCAGTTTTATCTCAATTTTGAAACAATGCATCAAACAAATTCAATCAGAATGTCAAATATGGCTACAAAGTGTTCATGTTTTTAAAGGCAGTAATCCTTCGAAATATTTAATGCAACTGTTGCTAACACATTAATTGTACTCCTGGCTTCACATACTAACCTGGACTTCCAATCAAGTGATGATTTTAGCCCAGAAAGGGAAGTGCACAAAATATACCTAAATCCATTTGCGATTATGTTCTAGTCTTGCACCCTCCGTTCTCCTTTTTTTCTAGCATTAGAAGACAACAGGTTGAGTTGGCAGATACTGTTTATGGACCCCTGAGGTTGTTTTTACCGGTTCAATCTCAATTTTATTGAATTCTTGATAACAGGAATAGGATTTGCAGGGAGAGCAGGGATATCTGAAAGGTCTGTACTGGGTGTTTTCTGAAAAGAAAAGAAGAAGTTTGGTTGCATTTTAACTTTGCAAATATCAAAAGAAAAATATTGTAGTATTGAGTTTTTGGGAATATACCAGGATAAGGATAATTACAAATTGTAAATACAGAAGCAGATATTTCCTTTGCCTACATAGTCATTATTAAAGAAAATTTGTACAAGATTCTCTTTCCTAGTGTGCATTTCCTTTTTCAACAACTGTAGTAAATTAGGAAGCGCTGCAGATAAAGCTGAGCCTACTAATAGCCTGTGTCACAATAAAACATAATATGCGTATAATAAGGGTGTTTGATTGGTGACATCTACTATCTGATCTACATGTTTAGTATTTAAAAATTCCTTTGAACAATACAGTATTAAGTCTCAGCCCCTTACAGATGCATGATGCAAAACTGTCCCCAATACAGTCTCAGCCCCTTACAGATGCATGATGAAAAACTGTCCCTAAAGTGTGTCTTCATAGACTCATATTTCACATTGTTTAAAAGCTCTTGACAGCCCAATTTCCAACTTTTCATATTGGTTTAAAAGTATGACGAATTCTAAAGCACTGCTATATGACTGGGTTAAGAATTTCACCTTGAAAATAACATGAACACTTTTTTCTCACTTAAAAGACTTAAATCCTATTCAGCAAAATTATACCTAAAGCCAAATAAAGGAAAACAAAGGAAAGGAACACTCCCAAGATTCAGTGTGATTCATTAATTTCTCACATGTCTAACAAGCCTCTATTGCTGGGTCGGGTTTTTTTTGTAATTTTGAAATATTTCTCTTTCACTGCGACAATTTGCCATCCCAATAACCCAGTTATTATGCAGTACTTCCCACAATTTATCATAAAATGTTCTCTTACATTATATACTTTCAAAATTAATGTAAGGTACTTTTGATACATGGAGAAAACTGCATTAAAATGACTGCTCTTAATTGTTGTTTTATTAAAAAGAAATCAATCGAGTTAACTGACTGATACGGCAGCAAAGCACAATGCAACAAGGACTGAGAGCAAAATAGCTTTGACGTCCCACCTCCCGCCAGGCCCCAGGAGCCCCCTCTGGTTGGTGCTGACCTGCAGTTTAACATGTTTCAGCTTTCTGCAACATGAGCAGTGCTTTAAACAAAGCCAATGAGAATACTGAAAAATGACCGAAGAGGCCCACCATTCTTTTGCAGCTTCCAGATTACTTTTGCTAAAGTAACAACTACGCAATTTGTAAAAGCCACAAAGCTTTATATAGTCATGCCTCAACAATACGTGAAATAAACTTGGTGTACTAAATGAAGCAGTTTAGAGTGCCCATGTAACACCTAGAGTTTTTGCCTAATAATTTTGGTACCTTTATTCAGTACTGCTCATATAGTTCAATAAGTGCGATAACAAATATCATTAATACTATTGCAATACATCTCCATTTTCAATCAATACATTTACTACACATCATTTCACGAGTAAAGTGTACGCAAAATGTTTTGCGATGGTGAAACTGCCAGTAGAGCACTAAGAGAAGCTTAAAAATGCTAGTAAAGACAACGATGTGCAATATTAGGAACAAAAATTTAAGTGAATGCCACAGAATTCTTAACTTAATGTCTAATTTTCCAATGCTCCTTACACTTTTAGTACCTCCAGTGAAGTTACACAGCTGGCTAATGAATTATAAAGATTACCACTTGTCTCTCTCTCATACCAAATATCAGAATCCGAAGTGACATTTCAGACATTCTCAACCTCTACCAGGGTATCTTTGAGCAACAGCTATTTAAACCATTCGTCTCCTTATTCGAAAGGATTATTCTGTGATGTGCAAAGCACAAAGGAATAAACTGAGCCCCTTACTTTGAAGGCACAATTCAGAAGAGCGAATCCAGCTTCGGTCAGTTTGTATGGCAAGCCATACATGTTTAGCTACAATGCACATTCAATAAGATCAATGACCATCTAAAACACAAAAATTGTGACAGTAACAACAAGCAGCTTTCCACACAATGGATTAATATTAAAAATTATACATTTATTTTTAACATCTGGACTCATTTTAATTTCAATGTTTTCACCACAGATTACCACAGGCACACATACACAGAGGTGTTGTTTTAACAAACAGTACCTGAGGAGCTTGCAGAGAAGTTGTCTGAAGAGTTTCTGTTTGAGAATTAACATTCACTTCTGTCTCAAGTTGCTCCTGAAAAACCAAAAGCATGAACACAGTTACACCACTTCCAATTATAAAAGCAATTTATACAGAACTCCATTAACCAGAATGCCTTAAGTTGTGCATATACAGCAAAATAAAAAAGGCACGTATTGGTACTTGCTGCATTTATACCCATCCTTTTACCACACAGAATCACCACGCTAGAGGATGTTTTGCTGATTAGGAATTTGATATCCACACAAGCTGTATCACTTCTCAGTTGTCACTTGTTTAACCACTTAATGCCTTCCATACAGAATCCTATAGGAAAACATTACATGCCGTTCAACTCCTTAAAGACAAGTAGTGCAGCATCACGGAAGACCACGTGAAAAGCTACTGAATTTGTTGCAAATTCAACTGCTTTTCCACTCCTTTTGTCACTCTGTAAGAAGAGTTTTCATGCTACTTCAATGGGTTGAATCAGCTTTCTGCATGAAGGGATGAACGTCAAAGTCAGTTTTTCAGGTAAAACAGTGGGACTGCATGGCTAAAGCAGGACAGTGGCACATTCTCATTTTAATGAAAACCACCTGTTAATTAAAATGGTACCATGTAGTAAACCATACCCTAACAAAAAGGCGTGTGTTTCAATGGAGAAACAACTATGTTAAAGACGTTCACATCTCCATTGCCTTCCATGCACATTAAGGACATAAGATTTAAAGGAGACTGACAACAAAATCTGACAGGATTACCGATGTCTTTTACAATGATTTGTATCCAGAGGATCTATTTTCTATGTTAGGATTAAATGCTTATATGTATTTCTGCCTTCACTTGTCTTGAGCTCAAAGAGATTTCAAGGTGACTACGTAACAAGACAAAATTCCTCACTTAAGGGTGTGGAGACTATAAACCAAAGCACTTAGGGTTTTAATAGATATTTTAATTTCTCAGCATATTTTCCAGGGTATTCCAAAGACAACAGAATATGCCCGATAAAGACTGTATACACCCAAGCGGAGAGCTGCTATCAGAAGGCTCAAGAGAGACTGCCACCCTTTCTGTTTACCAATAAGCAGAAAAATTGTCCGTTAAATTACAAGATACTGGAAGGGCACACTTGAATCTCTGGAAGTCCCCAAAAGGTATGCTGTAACTTCATACAGTAATTTCTCTGTCAGAAAAGATTTATTTACCATCATTTAAATTACTTTTTTTTTTTTAATCCAAAAAAGTGAACAAAGTAGCCCCTGCCTTCGGCATTCTAAACCCAACATGCAAAAATCCCAATGGAACACACGGGACAACTGTTCTTTAACTAAGTATCATACATCAAGTTTGGGACGCAGGCAAAGCAAGGCATACAGACACACCCCTTATATAAATTAACAAATTTAAATATACATATCATCATTTTTTTGCTATGCATAATACTGTGTGAATGACCAGCAAAGAAATCATTGTCCTATGTGACCACAGACTCAGGCTCAGCTTAGCCTGGCACTGGGTAACGTATAGCAATTCCTTAATATTGCCATAGACATTGAAAAACAACATATCATTTTGTTATCTTTACTGGAGAGTCTATGCTATATCTACAAATGCTCTTCGCCATTCCTAGAGGGAAACAGTAATTTTCACAAGGAAGAATCCCGATTAAAATACACAAAATTGTATGGTCTAGGCATAGATACCTTAGTTTCCATTTTTTCATCCTCAT